AACAAAACAAAAAAACACTCCGGAAATAAAAATAGAATTTAGAGAGAGTGTAAGCATGAGAGTGTGGGACGAATGTTAGAGTTAAAGAGAGGGTAACAGACGAGAGAAGGTGGAAGATTAAAACTTAACAGAGAGGGTTTTTTTTAATAGAGGTGAGTGGAAGGGGGGAAAAAATGAATGTTGTCGGATGTCTAATACATTAAAGATATAGATAGATAGATAGATAGATAGATAGATAGATAGATAGATAGATAGATATATATGTGCGTGTGTGTGTGTGCGCGCACACACAGATATATATATATATATTTGGTTGGATTGATGTGAGTTTGTGATCCTGGGTTTCACGCTTTTGCGATCGTCAGACAAACTGATTATTTTTTTTAAAAATTTGGGTTTATGTAGATTGCGTGTATTAGTGTTATTATGAGAGTGGGGGGGGAGAATCGTCGTCGTGATGTCATCGTGCTAACGCAAACATCGATGCATGTCCGTACATCAGATGAGGTATGCAGACACACATACATACTTGCTTGTCTGTCGGGACTCATACATATATAAACATATGTGGACAGTTTCGGATTTGACATATGTATGTATACGGGTGGTGTTGTGTCTATACATACGCATTTGTATGTTGAAATTCAAAGATTGGAAGTGTAGCGAAAATTTCTCGTGAATGTCTCGTGAATGTCTCGTGAATGTATACATGTCATATTTTTATTTTTCCACTGAATAATATTTCCTCGCATGTATGTATATACGTGTGGTGGGGTCTGTGTAAAATTATGATAGGTAAAAATTATTATTATTTTTATTTTTAAATTTTTTTAAAAAAAAAACTGGTTTATTTGTTATATTTTTAAAGCTGGTTATTTGTTTGTTTTTTGATGACTGTATATGTAACTGGTAGAAATTTCGGTTTGTAATCCTTATTGGTTATTTTTTATATGGTGATATTTAATATGCTGGGGAGGGGTAGTTTATGTTAATAATTATAGCGGGTCTCTATATGATAATAGTAGATGTGATGTAGTAGTAATGTTGTAAGGGATTGGAGATAATGATACTATAAGTAGCTAATAGTTATAGTAAATTGGTAGAAGTGATTAGTAATGGTGGTGGGAGAATGATAAAAACAATAAATGTATTTCTTGTGGTGGTAGCTTGAACTAAAAAGTGATTGTTAGTGTTTTATTTTATTTTGTTATATATATTAATTTATTTTGGTATAAATCCTGATAATAGGTGTTCTGTGTAAAATTATGATAGTTGAAAATTGCTATAATTTTTTATTTTTTATTAAAAAAAAAAAAAAATAATTATTATTTTAATGCTGTTTATTTGCTTGTTTTTTTTTTATTTCTTTGATGACTGTGTATATGTGACTGGTAGAAATTTCAGTTTGTAATCCTTATTGGTTATTTTTATGGTGGTATTAAATATGCCGGGGGAGAGGGTAGTTTACGTTAATAATTATGGCGGGTTTGTATGGTAATAGTAGATGTGATGTGATAGTAATGTGTAAGGGGGTTGGTGACAATGATAATATAAGTGTCTAAGAGTTATTGTAAATTGGTAATAGTGATTAGTAATGTTGGTGGGAGAATAATAAAAAAACAATAAATGTAATTATTATGGTGCTAGCTTAAAGAGTGATTGTTGGGATTTTATTTTATTTTATTTTCTATATTTATTTATTTTGGTATAAATCCTGATAATAGGTATTTATTCTCCTGCCTACATTTGGAAATTATTTCTGATCTTATTGGTTTTTATTTGGTGGTATTAAATATGCTGGGGGGAGTAATTTACGTTAATAATTATAGTGGATTTATATGTTAATAGTAGATGTGATGTGGTAGAAATGGTGTTGGGTGTTGATGGTAATGATAATATTAGTATTGGTATAAATTCGGATAATAGGTAATTGTTCTCATGCCTACATTTGGAGATTATCTCTGATTTTTTGTTTAGTAAATTCTTTTTGCGGTGTGTGTTTGATATTATTGACTTTTTCGTGTAAACAAAGTAGGCATTTTTTGTAATGTTGCTGTAGGCAGGAGCTTTTTTAAATACTTTCCAACTTATTGTTGGTGTGATATTTCTGTCTTTTTTTTTTTATATGAGCATATTTATATGTTTCTAGTGTTAGCTATATCTTTGATATTGAGCGCTTTTTAAATAAAAACCGCGTATATAATTTATAAAAATTATATATATATATATATATATATATATATATATATATATGAAGAGTGTGTGAATATATAAATATATATATATATATATATATATATATATATATATATATATATATATTTTTTCACAAACACCAAGACGACACACAACAAACGATATATACATAAAGACATACAGGGTGCAATGGATAAATTGTCGCCATTTTATATTTCTAATTTCGCGCATGCGCGTTGTTTGTTTATGATTTTGTCGACTGCACAGTATAGTAGGGTCAGTCGGGTGTGGTCTGTAAGGAAAAAACCACCATGACGCAATTCACTCCGCCAGAAATTTAGAAACAGCATGCAGTACTGTTTGGCATTCGCACCGGAAGCTCCAATACGAATATTGTTTGGATGTTTTGGATGCAGTGCAGAGGATTCGGAAAAAACTTGGATGAGTCTAATGGTGATTATGAAGGTACAGCAGCACGGAAAACTCCCTCTGATCGTTCTGATAAGAAAAGGACACACAAATGTTTTGGTGAGGACTTCAAACTAAACACGGAAACCTACATCAAGTGCATTGAGGAGGTAGTGCTATACCCTGGCTCAAGAGGGTGCTTGCTGGAAGATCCTATATCTGGCAACAAGACTCTGCACCATGCCACACAAGCAGGAGAACTCAGTCATGGCTGTTAGACAATTTATAAGACCACATCACTCCTTACACCTGGCCACCTAATCCCTAATTATGTGTGAGCGAGATACCAACAAAACTCCTTTTAACATAAAAGTTGAACGGAAGGAAAGGATTATGGCAGCATTCACCAACTTAAACAAAGATAACGTCTAGAAGAGTTGCAGAAGATTCCGAAGTCGTCTGGAGAACGTGGCTGAAGCCAATTGCGATTTTATTGAATAAATTTAACCTTTAGTATTTTAAGATATTTTTTCTGTTATTTTGGTAAATATAGCTCCCACATGAATTACATTGTAGAAAAAGATAAATGTAGCCGTTTCTTCTACTCCAATAGCTCCATATATCTCGCACCTCTTTTTATTTGGAACACCCTTCCCAATTACTGTTTCCCTATTAGAGCTATAATCTCCAACTATTCAAATGTAATGTTAATCGACATCTCCAGTTATCTTGATCTACCCACTTATCCTTCTCCTCATCCTTTCATCTATCACTCCTATCTGCTCTCGCTCCAAATCTTTTGCAACCCCCTGCATCCTAGTGGCTTCACGCCTTGTCGGGGCGTAATGCTTAAAAAAATATATCTCTTAAAATAAGATGAGATATATGTAATAGATCATTGCAAAAATTACCTTCTCAGTAAGGTACACACGCACACACATATATTTATTTATATTGTGTATTTGGGCAGAAATTCATCTTTTATACGTTTCATTAAAAACGGCTGACAAGGTACTGCAGTTAAGTTTTTTTTATTTAATTTTTATTGTTTTATTTTACCGGATTCGCTTTTAACTTGCGATGGAAGGGTTCCTATGCAAGAATGTACAGCATCGGCGAAAGCGGGCAACCTTGACGAATGGATCTAAACAACATGAGATGTTTCGACCTTACGTCATTCACTTCCACAATCGTTCTGAGGAACCGATACAAGAGACAGATCCAGGTCTGAAAGTACAGCCCAAATCCGGCCAACTCGAGGATAGCCCCGAGAAATCGATGGTCAACCCTATCAAATGCCTTGAACTAATCTAAATTGATCAGCGCGGCCTCACTGTCCACTTGTTATACGATTAAACATACCAGATGAAAGTTGTCCTGAATAGTCCGACCCTTTACAGCGCATGTCTGCTCGTGGCCAATCAGATCAGGCAGGACAGCCTGAAAACAGTTGGTTAAGACCTTGGCTAAAATCTTTAACTCTGGATTCAACATAGTTAAGGAACGGGAATTATTAATCCCATTCCTTCTGTGTTTATTCTTGCGAAGCAACTTGATCACACCTCTGGTGAAGCGTTCAGGAATACTCCCGTTCTTCATCCATTGGTTAAAGATCAGTGCCAGCAGAGGGACAAACACGTGCGACTGCCTCGGGTACACCTCACAGGAAATTCCATCGATACACGGAGTCTTGTCTTGACCGACATGCTTCAACGCATCCCAGATTTCCTCCGGTGTTATCTGACCCTCGCATCCAGCCTACTTCAACCGTCTCGAGGTGAGGAAAGTCAACCAAATAAGTGTCGAACTGATCTCGGGCTTTGACCGAGTTTCCTCGTAAAAAGATCCTGAAAATAAAATCGGGAAGCTTCACATATGCTATCGTTTGTAGTTACGGTACGCCTATCAGGCAATGTGGCGCTAGCAGTTCAGAAGCCACATTTGTTGCCTTGGAAGACATCCTTTTGAATCTAGCCCTTACTACCAGATTTTTCTTTGTCTAATAAAATTTTGAAGGTCCGACTATATTTTTAAATATTTAACAGTATTTTTTTTTTATACATAAACATGTTTTGTGAAAAATTTTTTCAACTATCACCAAGGGATTTTTAACCCCCCCCTCGCACCGGCCACAAAGATCAAACAAATGTAAAAACACAAACGAAAATAAAATGCAGAACAAAATACAAAATAAAATATAAAAACAGGCAGAGAAAAACAAGTCCGACGCAAAAGAATACAAAAATAAAAACAAACTATAAACAAAAATTAAATCAAATTCGGCCGCAGCTGAAAGAAAGTAACAAAACTGAAAACGAAAATTCAACAAAAGGAAACAAACTTTGTCAAAAACAGAAATAAATAAAAAAAACAAACAAAAAAAAAACTGGCAAAATATGTCCAAACAAGTTCCTCGTGAAGTCAAATGCTGGTCTGAAAAGAGAAACAAAACTAACAACCTACGTCAGCAGAACTCCGGTTGTCCAACTCAGGGCTTCCCGTTAGTCTTGTTAGCGTTGTTAACACTCGCCTTGCAGATGGCCGGTTCAGTCCATTTCATGGAGGATTTACCGGTGTTGTTCTGAAGGACGTCTTAAGGTACGGCCGCCTGCTTTACTCTACAATCGTAAAAGCATTTATAATGCATTCTTATAGTAAAATCCTGACGATACACTACATTCGGCAGCAAGGTTTAAAAAAATACTGTAATCAATTTTTCACACTTTGTATCCAGAAAAGAAAACAGTTGCCCGAACACAAAAAAGTATTTTAAATTTTATTTTGAATTTTTTTATTTTAATGACACACACACACACACACACACACACACACACACACACACACACACACACATACATATATATATATATATATATATATATATATATTATATAATATGAGGGAGAGAGAAAGAGAGGGACTTACAGCCATATTGCCAACTGATTTACATTAATGCCTGAAATCACATTAGTTATTTTAACTATACTTAAAACTAGGTACATTAAGCTTTATTTTGCATTTTTACAGATTATTTCTATCGCAAATACAAATAAAAGTTATAAAATTTTTTAAAGAGCAAAATTTTATGGAAACCCTGTATATACACATATTTTTTATACATAGATAAATATATATGTACATATATAAGGATACTAAACTTAAAACTCGTTTTATTGGGCGGTGTCTATGGCTAATTTGTTAAAAAATAAAACTAATTTAAAAGTCAGCAGAAAATATCCGGTTGTCCAACTTGGGGCTTCCTGTTAGCCTTGTTAAAATTGTTATATACATAGATGGCCGGTTCAGTCCATTTATGGATGATTTACCGGTGTTGTTCTAAAAACGTTATGGTACGGCTCCTGCATTTATAATGCGTTCTTATAGTAAAATCCTGACGATACACTACATTCGGCAAGCAATCTTTAACTTCTGTACAATTTTACACACTTTGTGTCCAGAAAACAAAACAAAATCGAGCATAAGAAAAAAAAATTATAAAATCTTAATCGCAGTTACTTTTGTCTGTCGTTTTTTTAACACACACACACACACACACATACACACACACACACATATATATATATATATATATATATATATAAATATGAATCATATATATATATATATATATATATGAAGAAAAATATACGGAAAAACAAACAAAAATCCTAATATGCAATTATGCTGTTTTAATGTTAATATAATGTCAACGTCGGACGTTTCGGTCTAATAGACCATCTTCAGGACATATTCATAAAACATAATTAACATATTCAATTCAACATGAAAAAGACGATAGACACAAGAGCAAGACTAATCCAAACAGATAACTGAATTTTTTTAATAAAATCAGTGTTCCGTTTTAATATGATCACGTCGTCTTTGAACTGAATATAGTCTAATGTCAATAATCACCCCCCCCCAAAATCGACACAAACAAAAAGACATGCCTGTGTAGCTAATCAGTATTTAATTGATTGGTTGATTCATTTTCTACAGCTTATCAACAACCAAGAAATTATAAGTGGGTATAAAGTGGGGGATTAATTCTACATTGCAATCAATGTATAAATTGATCCCTCACTTTGTCATCAGAGTAGATTCTATACATTTATATTCCAGAGAATGAAAATAAATCTAAAAGTCATGCCTGTGTAGCTAATCAATATTAGGTGCTTCACCTAAATAAAAAATGAAAAATAATTGATTAAGGATTCATATATTCTAAATTTATAATCTTTAGCCTTTAGACTTTTTTTTTACCAGCATTTAATTACTCTCAGTATCTTGCGTGGTTAACAAAAAAAAAAAAAAAAGAAAAAAAATGAAAAAGAAAACAATCTCGTCATTATAATCTTACTCAAAATGTTATCCAGGGTAGACTGGATGTCTTGATAGTGACACCCGCTACCCTCCCAACTTTGAATTTGTTTAAAAAATCGGAGTGCCTTTATGTAACATTACAACAGTGATAGTTTTATGGAAACATGAGATAAAAGATAAACTTGAACGATAAACGCCCCATTCGGGGTATCTCTACACCCGTATTAAAAGAAACGTGGGTTGAATGAATGCAAACACGTTGAAACAGACATTCTGGTTAATTAGGATTTCACAAAAGCTGTGAGAGAATCGATATTATATCAATATATACGTAAAGGGGGTATATGAATATGTTTGCCTATTGTTTTTTTTGTATGTTTAGATATAAATATATATTTTAAGACATTTTTAGAAAATATGCATCCTCCCACAGGAATCGAACCTGTATCCTATACGGAACCGTCATATAGCCTGACGTGCTTGGACCGATTTCGCCACAGAGGCGGATATTTTCTTTGGCAATTTCTCGGACATTCAGGCCGGTTAATGCTGTTTATTATAAACAGAGCATTTACTTAAATATTTGTATCTATAAAAAAGAATGTATAAGCATAAAAGTGTCTTTAAATAATTGTCAGGACTTTGTTCATTTCTTATTATATATATATATATATATATATATATATATATATATATATATATATATATATATATATATTATTCTGTTTATATCTCCAATTATATATATATATGTTTATATCTCCAATTAGATATATATGTGTGTGTGTGTGTGTGTAATTGAGATATAAAACATGAATCAGGTACAGAAGTGTAAATATATGTGGGAAGCGTTTTAACAGATGATGGAAAATGTGTCACAGAGATCCGAACACACACTGAACTGGAGAAAGAAGCCTCCCAAAGGTGCTAAAAAAACGGAAAAAATCGTTAGAAACAAAGAAAAGGGTGCTTGATTGCTATGTGTTATCCATCCTCTTATATGTCAGTGAATGTTGGACAATTGGGTAATTTATTTAAATACTAGTAATGATACCCGGCGCAGTACGTGTCACTTATCTCTATCTATAAAAGGCAGGATGTGTGTGTGTGTGTGTGTGTGTGTGTGTGTGTGTGTGTGTGTGTGTGTGTAACGAATGCAGGGCTGCAATTTTCGACGGATTTGCACCAAAATTTACATGCACATGCTCCAATTTAGCAGGAAGGCCAAGACCTACCGACTTTGCATTTCCCAACTCTCATCGATAGTGGAAATAATCAATTTTTTATGCTTCTACGGCAGTTTTCATGTAGTTTGCGGCCATTTTTCACTGGCCAGAGTGAGGGCCAATAGCTGGCTGCCACGAATAGGCAAGAAGATTCTATTGGCCAGCGTGAGAGCCAACAGCTGACTGACACGAATGTTAACTCGTATGCTAGCATGCAAAAAAAAATCGATAGCTGCATTTGTCACAAGTGGGAAAAATTTAAATCTACATGGCACTTTACTCCAGTTGGCTCATTCGCTTGCTTAAACACAACGTTGATTCTGATTCCGCAGAACTGGGTTGGGTGTGAAAAAGTATTTGTTGTTAACATTCTTTTTTCATTCGGTTTTTCCAGTTACGAGTCCTTTTTTAAATCTGATCGTTTTGTGTTCATTTTGTTTAGTTCTTTTTTCGTAACAGATTTAATGTTTAGTATAGAGCTTAGAAAAAATTCGCAGTGTGAGATAGGCAAGAAGTAAGGCATGTAGCAAGATCAGCACGGCAAAGGGCACTCCTTTAAAGGCAAGGAAGGGCAAAAATATTTTAAGTCAAGTGATAGCGATTGCTGTATGAGTCGTACGATTTTTGAATCAAGCACGGGCAACGCCAGCCCATGCTGCTAGTATAATCTAATATAAAAGCGAATGATATAATTTCATTTTATAACGCTTCTGAAGATTTAAATTTAAATGTTTTGCCATATGATAATGTTTCTTCTTTTTTTTAGCATATAACAAATTTGAAATTTGTTTAGTGTTATTAACATTTTGTTCAATGGCGTAATCTTAATACTATAAGATACGCAGATGACACTGAAAGGAAACATCAGCACCTCCTAGACAGGGTAGAGTTGAAGAATGCGAGAAAAGGGGACTAACCATCAAGAAATCATGCAGTCTGGTCCTTAGCAAGAGAAAAAAGCCCAACATGCGAGCTACGAATTGGAGATGTCAACAACAAGCAGCTGCAGAAGTTTAATTATATGGGAAGTGTTTTATGAGAGAATGGAAAATACGATACTGTGATTCGAACACGCACTGGATATATTTACCAACCTCCACACAAGGTAAGATGTGGCACAAGGCCGAGTTTTAAAATGGGGGATCCGAACTCGTAGGTTCGACTAAAAATTCCCATATATATCGGAGTCGGATAGCTGTTTCCCGAGACGAGACTCTGCCCTTCGACATAGCCTCTTTGGGGATCCGAAGGCAGAGAGTTTGACCAGCACAGCTGGAAATGATTCCAGCTGGACTCCGATCCAACCCCGGAAACCAGAGTTGGACTAGCGAAAGAAGCATTTAAAAAGCTAAGCAAGGTACAGAGAAACAGGAAAATGTACTTAGAAACAAAGAAAAGAATGCTGGATTGCTGTGTGTTTTCTATCCTCTAATAGAGATGGAGAAACTTAACCCACACAGGGTGTGTAGTGAGGGCAGGGGGGATAGGGGAAGGCAGCGAGCCACTTACCTAACGTGCTTGTATGAATAGATAGCGGAATAAAGAGCGGGGGCCTAAACTAAGGGAGAGAAACTGCTAAACGCCACACGAGATAGGAAATTGTGGAGAGCCATGATCGCCTGTATCCTGAAGGAACGCGGCACACAGACGAAGATATATGTCTTTGGGTGTGATAATAGTGTAACAATTATCGATGTACAAAGGGAATCGGCGAGCCGAGTTCGAACTCCAGTCGATCTAGTTTCGTTTACTTCAAGCTGATCTCCTTGGAAAAAAGGCATAAATCTTCTTTCCTCTAATTATTGGTTAAATAGCAGGGCAGACTGGGCTCTCTAGCCTTGGGTGGCAACCAGTCTCAGAAGGAAAACTCTAAATTCTAAAATAGTTTAAAGATGGGTGGTCCCCGTCAAGTTATCTTTGCCGTAGACACACCACTATAGGTACGGTTTCCATAGACATTCCACCTCCATCACTCAAATGGCTTATGGAACGCGTGACGTTACAGTATATGTTTTTACCCCAACCCCACCCCAGACACACATTTATCGCATTCAAATAAAATATCCACCTTTTACTGGATAGTTCGGGGTTTTGACCTTAGATTGCAAACATGAGGAGCGTTTAGCTTTTTACGTAATTAATTTAAAATCGATCACTTTTTATCGTATTGTGCAAGCTAAAATTGTAGTTTTTTTAATTTGTCTAAATTGATAAATTTTTGTTCCTAAAATAGGACAACATTTTTGTCATATTACGATATTTTATATAGATATGTGGTAAGGGTTACCAGTGCGAACAGGGAAATCAAGGTTTTGTGTTCAAATCTGACCGGCTCTGATTTGTTTACTTGGCACTAATACCCTAAGAAAAGGCATAGATTCGTTTTCGTCCAGTTAAAACAAAAACAGAACAAACTGTGCTCTTGTGCCTTGATCTCTGAGAATTAGTAACGGTACCTACTTTTAAGGAATATCTATGCTTTACGAATAATTACATTCGCACAACAAGTATCCACGAACGTATGGTGTTATTTTATTTTGTTGTCTTCAAAAGCTAATGCTCTAGGTTTGTAGATGTAACAATATAGCCACGGATGTTAGTCTGGCGACATCTTATCAAATGGCATATGAAAAAAGCCGAAATGCACGTGTGTGTTGACAGATTGTTTTGAATTTGTAGTATACATAATACCTTAAGAAGTGTTTTATATAGGGGAGAAGTGGCGAACCACTGGATTAACCCAAACCCAAAACCAAAATATCGACCTGCAAACACGGGTCATGTCCTTAACTACTCGCGTTAGATCGAGACTTTCATATGAATGTCATGCATGGCACCAAATCCTGTCAGAAATATCTAAGCTATTGGCTGTATACAACCACTTCTTAACATCAATGGTGAGCGAGTGGAACCTGAGGGCCTTGACAAAGATCATACTCCTTTGGACATTGTGGACTGGTGTTGCAGATTCACAAAGAACTGTACTAAATAATAGAAACCGCAGCACATCACACCACTTAAAGACTACCAAGAGCAGCGACAACTAAAATGGATAGCACATGTAATTCGAAGAGGAAATAACGACATAATCAAAATGTTGATGTTCCGCACTACTTCAAACAAAAGGTTAGGAAGGAAACGGCCCACCAATACTGGAAAGAGCGATAACAGCTACTGGACTTGAGAAACCTATTTTCCTGAAAAATTGTTTTAAGAGAAAGATTTTTAGAAATTTCAACCGAAAGCAGTAATGTCTGTTTGGTTAATGAATGCCAAATGTTTTCTTATAGGGAAACAGGCTAATATTACCATTACCATTACTTGAGAATAATCAACAGGAAATAGTCAACATATTTAAATTATCCAAATTCCTTTACATGAGTATATTAGTTGATTTCATTAGAGATCAAGTGACAACACGTCTTCTTCCTTTTTCAGCACTCTCCTTTAACAACAGTTATCGTAATGATTTCGAGTATTCATCGGAATTAATCATGAATATTATTATTATTTCATGTATTTGCATGTTCGCACCTGATATCTGGTGGTAATCACTCGACTTTCAATGATAGAACGTTTTTGCATATCTCAAGCACCTTTCTCAATATGCTTATCATCCCCAAAACGCAGAGATCTGGACAATCTCAATTCTTCGTCGATTCTAGTGGTTTTGGTACGGTTCTTCACCTTTTCTTTCTTTCTTTCTTTCTTTCTTTCTTTCTTTCTTTCTTTCTTTCTTTCTTTCTATTGTTTTTGCATTTTTCACTTTGTTTTCTTTTTTATTTTACTCTTCTTTTCCCATTTGTTGTTTTCCTCTGTTTCTTCTTATCTCTCATCTCTTTTCTTTCTCTTCCTTTTCTTTTTTCCTTTCTCTATTTTTCCTTTCTGTTTTCTTCTTTCTCTTTTCATTTCTTCTTTCCTTTCTTTTTTCTTATAATTCTTTCTTTTTCTTTCTCTTTTCCATTCTTGTATCATTTTTTTCTATTCCTTTTCTCTTTTGCTTTTTTCTTCTATCTTTTGTCCCTCCTCATTTCTTTTCTTTTCACCCTTTTCTCTACTCTTTCTTTTCTTGCCCACTTTTTCTCTTATTTTTCTTCTCCTGACGTTTACTACTTCTTTTTCTCTTTTTTCTTCTTCCCGCTTTCTTTTCTTCTTTCACCTTACTTTTTTCTTCTTCTTTTCTTTTCTCTTTTTCTTTTCTCCTTTTCTTTCTTTCTTCATTCATTCTTTTTTTCTATTTGTTTGGCTTCTTTTTTCAAAGGGTCTCTTCAATTTGCAGACGATCAAAAACGTACATATATAAACGCGCATGCGCACAGATTGCCAACCGTGGCTTTAACCGCCTGTTTACTTACAACACACACTCACAACACACACTCACCGTATCTATATATATTTCCTTCTTTTCCTGCTACTTTACAAATGTTCGCCACTTATGGCTTGTTTTTTTTTCTAAACATATAGTTACATATTTACACACAACTACAACTCTGTCTCAGAGGCTCTTCATTTCTCTCTCACTCGCACACGTTTCTCTACCTCCCTCAAACACACATACACACTCTCAAACACACGTGTACATACACAGTTACTCTCTCTCTCTCTCTTATATACTTTTCCTTTCTCTTTATCATATACACTTTCTAACACAAATACACATGCACGTTCTGAAACACGCACTCTTTTTCTTTTTCACTTTCTCTCAGACACGCACATACTTCCTCTCTCTTAAACACAAACATTCTCTCTTTAACACACACTCTTCCTTTCTCTCTAATATAGACGCATACACACACTCTTTCTCACAGTCACACACACGCACAAATACACACACTTTCTTTCACGTTTTCTCTAACACACATATACATGCGCGTACATATTATATCCGCACATACACATGCATATACACACACATAAGCACACACCTACACCCGCGCACACTTAAGTAACCGTAGCTTTCATAGATCTCTTCTTAGCTATCATCATTTTCTCTACACGCTATATTATATAAGGAGTGTGTATAACTTCTCACTTGTTCTTTTTAAATACCTCCTCCCGCTTTCACTCACTTGTTTTCACTTCTAAATGTCTTCTCTCTCTCTCTCTCTCTCTCTCTCACTCTCTCACTCTCCCTCCATCTCACACAACTATATGCACATGCAGAAAATAGCGCAACTAAAATCGGTCTGCCATTGTTTGTACGACCAAACATCCATGCCTCTTAAATGCCGTTTAGAGTTTGTTTTGCAATTGATCGGGTCACCTTAAGGAAAATTCCCACGTTATATTAGAACAAGACATCGATCTCTCTCTCTCTCTTTCTTTTTTCTTTCTTTCTTTTTTTCGTATAACTAAGAGATTAATTTCCTGAGATATTTGTCCCCTAAAACTCATACAGACACCAACAGAATGGAAAGCGCCTAAAGGAACTCCTCATCCGCACATACATACATACAGTTAAAGGCAATAAAATATATTTATGGCCATGCACACATGCATAAATGTTTATCGGTTTTAATTTATTTTTTTTAATTGGGTGATTTCGGTCTTCCTATATGGCAGTGAATGCTGGGCAATCTCACAAATGAAGAAGAGACTTGAAGCAAGAGAAACAAAGAAAAGTGTACTGAACTATTATGTGATATCTGTCCTCTTATATGGCAGTGAATGCTGGGCAATCTCCTCACAGATGAAGAAGAGACTTGAAGCAAGAGAAAAAAAAAGAAAAGTGTACTGAACTGTTATGTAATATGGGTCCTCCTATATGGCAGTGAATGCTGGACAATCTCCTCACAGATGAAGAAGAGACTTGAAGCAAGAGAAAAAAGAAAAGTGTACTGAACTGTTATGTAATATCAGTCCTCCTTTATGGCAGCGAATGCTGGGCAATCTCCTCACAAATGAAGAAGAGACTTGAAGCAAGAGAAAAAAAGGAAAGTGTACTGAACTATTATGTGACATCTGTCCTCTTATATCACAGTGAATGCTGGACAATCTCCTCTCAGATGAAGAAGAGGCTTGAGGCAACAGAAATATTGTTCTACAGAAGGAAAATGGCAACAAAAAGGAGATTTATACTTAGCATCAGAAAGAGACAGTTGAAATTTATATGACACATAATGAGGAAAGAGGGCTTGGAAATTTTGATACTCACAGGAAAGATTGAAGACATGAGCGACAGAGGAAAGTAGCGAATAACCTACCGGATGAGCTTGTGTATACTTGTCAGAACAAGTGTTAGGAGGGATAGGAAAAAGACAAACGTTACAAAAGAGAGGAAGGTGTGGAGAGCCATTATCACCCACATCCTCTAATGGCACCACATACAGAAGAAGTTTAACTATCAAATTCAAAGTTATTATGGATTCTAAACAATCTAGCACACACATGCATTCTGGTTTTTCTCTTATGCCTTTTGATAAGATGCCGCCAGACGAACATCCGTGGCTATATTGTTACATCTACAAGCATTAGCTCTTGAAGACAACAAAATAAAATAAAACCATACGTTCGTGGATACCGGTTTTGCTTGGATTCCTTATATCTAAAATGAATACAATCTTACGTGGTAACTGTATTTTATATCAATCGTTTTAAAAAGATGCTAGTAATCTTCAGTTGGTCTAGAATTGATGATTCTGTCAGGTTTGGTGATTTCAATCAGTTATGAAAATATATTTTTTTAACTTTGTAAACATTTGTTAAAGAAATACACAGTTTAAAATACATTATGAAATGAACAAAGTCTGACAATTATTTAAAGACATTTTTATGTTTAACATTCTTTTTATAGATACAAGTATTTAAGTAAATGCTCTGTTTATAATAAACAGTATTAAATAACATTTACTTTATTTGTCCGAGAAATTTTCATAGAAAATATTCGTCCTTTGACAGGATTCGAACCTGCATCCTATACGGAACCGTCATTTAGATTGACGTGCCTAACCCCTCGGCCACAAAGAATGTTAAACATAAAAATGTCTTTAAACAGTTTAAAATGAAATTCTTTTCTTATATTAAAAAAAATATGGTGCATTTTTTCTTCAAAATTCTGTACTAATTTGAAAAATTAATATAATATGAATTCTTTTTTAATCAATTATTGTTTTTAGTGTCAGTTGCATCATTTACACTTATTTTTAATGTTCACATAGACATAAGAGCGAAGTGAATGCTTATTATCATCGTCGTATTTTGACATCGTATCAACAAATCCTTTTTTCCCTGCTGCTTATCAATTAACCGCATACACTGCTATTGTTTTTTAAAATGTTTACATAGACGCGCACAATTAATGTCTTTTCCGGTTTATACAGTATTGTACAAAACGATGTCCGATTTATACGGAAACTGCAGTTTTAACTCTAATTTAACCTGTGGTGACCTTTTAGTGACATCAGAAGTCACTTACCACTTGTTCATCCTTGACTCGTTACTCATAGACTAAATTTCAGCCTTCAGTGTCCAGCCGTTTGGCCAGCCATGAGGTGTTTTTTAACTAAATGTTAGAGCCGCTCAACAGAATGAGGATCTGTTGTATGGTCGTAAGAGGAGGAAGTAAGTGCAGATTATGAGGATATGAATAACGGTTGACCCTGGACTTGAAGAAATTAAGATTGTGTTGATCAGCAGTTTGTTTCACAAAGCAGTTATTCATAGGAAAGGATCTATTTGGGTAGAACTTGCTTCTAACCAATGGAATACGAAGAAAATGAAGATGATTTGACCATGTGTACTGAGCATGGCGGATCTTTGTTGTAAGGGTCTGAACTGGAAGAATTAAGAAATTCGGCTGAACATTTGCCGTGGAAATAGCGATAGAGTAGCGAGAGTCTTTCGTCAGTGGGAAAGTGATTTTAGGTTGGAAAACAATTCGTCCCCACAAGGCGGCGTAAATGATTTTGAATTCTGTCGAGACTGGAAAATGAGGATTGGATAACTCCAGTATAGATAGGGAAGCCATGTTCAATTTTTGGTCTGGTCTAGATCGAGCATGGCAGGAGGAGTCAGGTACTTTCTGGAGCGGTTCGAAGAACCGACAATTTTTCCATCAACTTTAGCGATGGGTCGTTTATATGAATTCCATTTGAGGTCTAGAGTGAACATGTTCCAATAGGTGCCTCAAAACAACGGACTGGTAAAACATCCGGGGTCTGCGCGGTGGTGTTAGAACATTACTAGCTTTTGGAAATATTTAATCTTATCCATTGTAGAGGACCGTGTCGGCGATGTCGTTGAGTAGAAGTAGATGAATACACGTGGGTAGAAATTTCCTGTCGATGTCGGACATTGAAGTATCAACGACCACAACTAGATTGCTGCGTCATTAACTATTATTGCAAGTTCCTAACGTTTTGTACGTCGGACCCTTTTAGGATCGACTATTGAAATACAAGCCTCCACTGGGAAAACTACTTTACAACACTTTCTATGATCGATTTCTTTTTTTTTTTTACTTTTCTATTGTTTTGACTTTAACATTCTTCGTAGAAGTTTTTATTTCTTGCTTTACTTGAATATTGTTTTCCATTCTCATATTCATCACTTTTAATAATGGACCACAAGTTTTCTATTGGATCAAGTTATTAAGAGGCTGGGACCGTTTTATTAATTTGTTGTCTTTGAAACCTTTTTTCTCGTAAGTCGAGCAACAGTCAGATTAGCATCGTCTTTCAAGACAGTACTCTTTAATAAAGCATCTTCGTTGTGAGCTGTACCTCTCATGAAATGTCCTAAGACCATAAAATAATCCTTTGCATATATCTTGATACTCTCATAAACTTTGAAGAAACCTGTCATTTTACTGTCTACAGTATTAGCATGAAACAAGACATTACCTTCTCACTTTTGTCTTCTAAGTAGCATTGGCTGTAAAGTCTCAACCGCTATTTAAGTCGTCAGGTTCATCCAATGTAGCTCTACATTCATCGCTAAAAATACTGTTGAGAAATCAATTTTCAGGTACTTCTTCATCCAAATTACCCATAACTTTTGGTAATAATTTCGTTTTTTCTAGTCATTTACGTTTCTAGCACCAACTTCTTTAAATATTTTTTTTGTTTATTACCCTTTTAATTTTTCGAAAACTATTTTTTGTGTCATTCTTGACGACACTAAAAGTATTTTTACGGTAATTGTTCTGATGAGTTTTTCTCTTTGGTGCATCGATTTCACGAATGTCAGCGTACTACTAGATTGGCAGCTAGGTCCCATAATTTCACTTTTGAAATTGCTAGATGTAGCCGTAAGTTCTATTCTAATAATTTCTTCTCCTGCACTTCTCACTTGTGGAACTCTTGCTTTCACGTCAACTACGAACTTCTCAAATTTAAATGCAGTGTCAATCATTTTGATTCTCCTTGATTCCTGTTCTCTTATTGACGTCTGTTTCTTTTTCTCACCAACCACTTGCATCTTAGTGGCTTTATCGCCTTGCTTAGGGTGAAATAATAAAAATACTGATATTTACTGCTAACTTTGTACGTATTTTCCTTTTGTGAGACAACGTACAAAGAATAGGCAATGGACTCCTTTTGAATGGAAGAGACTGGATAATAAGTGTTTACGGGAAATAATTTTTATGGTTAAATTCTTCAGATATTTAGATTACACAATGAGCGAGAGAGAGAGAGAGAGAGAGAGAGAGACTGAAAGAGAGAGAATGAGAGATACAAAAACAATGAAAGATGAGAGAGAGGCAGACAGATAAAGAGAGAGACAGAAACAGAGAGATTTAGATTTAGGACAGAGAGAACCGGTTTTGACTTTGTGTTGGTCAATGTCGTCAGCCAACCAGACGTTTTGTTATGTTGATGATCGTTTCAGCCGATTAAATAGAGGGAGAGAGAGAGAGAGAGAGAGAGAGAGAGAGAGATAGATATATATATATATATATATATATATATATATATATATATATATATATATGGGGAAGAGGTTATAGTAGTTCCAACGAGAGAAAAGTGTATATATTAAAAAGAAGAGAGAAACCGCAAACGTTTTTGGTTGTAATGTGGACTTTTTAAAAAAATATATATTATGTTTTATTTTCCATAATTTTGCAACACGTGTTTCGAGTCTCACAATATTCTTCAGGCATAGAGTGGATATTTCCACATATTATTAAAATGAATTAATTTTCCTTATGTTTTTCGATGTTAAACATTC